GATCCTAGACAATAAAATGGTGGGTGTTGCAATTTTTTTATGTCAACACAGTTTTATGCAGCAGTTTCAAGCACATTTTTTTGGGAAAGAATACACTTTAATTTTAATGCAAAAAATATAATATAATACCAAATGGCTTGGTAAAAATTAAAAGATGATGTTACACTGAGTAAATAGATACCTAACGTGTCCCTGATCATCTCTGTGGTATACGAAACCTGAAGTGACAAGTATTTTGTCACTTTTGGTTTCAGCTGTTTGTTTACCTGATCAGCTCTGATAAGCTGGCCAAAACTCCGGGTTCACTGCTAGGTTCCTGATGGGACTGGAGAGCCTGGAGACGGAGCGGAGAATCCTGGGGAGTGGGGGCAACCTCTCCAGCTGCTAATAAAAGCAGTGCAGGGGCTAATTAACCTCCATTTAAAACTGCTTGCCAATCTTTAAATGTGCTGCCTGCATTAATTTTCTTTTTTTTTTGATGATTTTTTTCCTTTATTTTCACCTGGTGGTCCAGCCAGGAGCACACTTCCTGTTTTAGCCCCGGTTCTCATATATGTGGCCTGTGTTTTGCGCGGGCACGAGAGTCCATTCATTTGAATGGACTCCCGTGCCCCGTGACATGCACAGAAGAAGTTCCTGCACTTCTTCTGAAAACGCAGCCCGCACAGGAACCTCTGTTCCCAGTACAGTTGCGTTTTCCAGTGCTGGCGGCGTGCCATTAAAATTAATGGCACCCGCCCGTGGGTCCGCATTTCTAAAAGGGTGGTGCGGATGCACGGATTTTCGTGCAGATCCGCAGCTGCACCACCCGTACAGATGTGAGTTTAGCCTTAGAGTGTCTCTATTCTGTATGGAGGAGCAATGGAAACAGCAGCATTATCAAAGGGAATGGTAGAGTTAGGGTCAGTACACATCTGTGCAGTGGGTTTTTGGCACATTGCAATTTAGGTTCATTTTACATGCATTTTAGTCATGCTACCATTGAACTTTAGAGCGCGCGCTTTTTGATGACAGGGACTCAAAGATGCAGCATGGGCTGTTTTTTTTTTTTTTTTTTTTCTTTTTTAGCACACCATATATACATGAAATGCACAGGTGTGAACAAGGCCTTAGTTGTACTAGCAAATTAAAGTCGAAATCAAGGTAATACGTTCTAAGCAATTAGGCCTGGTTCACACCAATGCTTGTTGCAAGCTGCTTCGGGGAAAAAGTCTCTGACCCTTACCAAACATGCAACCGCTGAAACCGCATAGATGCGAACATGTCCCATAGGAAACCATGTTAAATGGACTGTAGTGTGTTTTCTGCAAAAAGCACTAAAAAAATGCATAGGTGTGAACCAGGCCTTACTGCAGCAGTGCTTTTTTTTTTTTTTTTTTTTTTGGTAAAAAACGTTTTACATAAAAGCTGATCATTACAAGCACCCCTGTAAATGTTAAATAGTTTGTTTCTACCAGCTAATTGCTAAATCTGCATCTGGTTCTTTTGAAAAACTGACTTACTGGCCAGATCACCAGATGAAAATAAAGGAAAGAAAACCTAAAAAAGAAAACAAATGCAGCCATCGTATCTAAGAATTGGTAAGCTACAGTATAATAAATGTTTGCTTTGGGTTTAATACTGCTTTCAGCTGGGTAGATGCTAGCACAATTTCAAATGAAGAGTCATTTGACTATTTATATGAACATTCTCATTTTACGGCTTGACCAATATCGTTCAAAAAGAGTTAAAAATTTTGTTTTGCTTTTTAACATTCAATTTTGGAGTGAATGGAATTTATCAGATGAAAAACTTGCACAGAAGTTTGCTTGTTTGAGAAAAAGTTTTCCATCCTGCTCCTTCGAATTTTCTAGTCACTGTGGTTGCAAACTAACATCAACTTGATCCCAATGACAATTAGAAAATCAAATGAATGTCCTTTTTCAAATGAAAATTTTCTATAAACACTGCTACATTTTGTATTTCGTAAGAAAATATTTTTTTTTTTTAGAAAATAGAAATATGTTCAACAATAAAATGAAAAATTTCTACTGAAATACTACTAGTGTATGGCCAACTTTAGTCAAAGTTTGTACTTTCAAGGTAATCCTAGTGGCAATCATACTTTGACAGCTAGAATGCAATGTACCATCTGAGAGCTATACTAAGAAAATTTTGTTACCTGTATACAATATGTCACAAGTGCTCATAACCTGCAGTGAACATTTTCACCCACATCCACTCATTGGGGGAAATTTACTAAAACTGGAGCATGCAGAATCTGGTGTAGCTGTGGATTGTAACCAATCAGCTTCTAGCGTCAGCTTGTTCAATTGAAGTAGTGGTCTCCAAACTGTGGCCCGGGGGTTAGATGCGGCCCTTTGATTGTCTTTATCTGGCTCTTGGAGCCCTATTCATCCCACAGATAGGAGACACTATTCTGCCCACTAAAACCGAACAATGGGCATAATTCCTGCCACTGACACCAACAATGGGGCACTATCCCCCCCAATACCAAAGATGGGATACTGTTTACTCTTCTTGATGCCAGAAAGAAATCCTATTCCCACTGGCCACAGTCTGGCCCCCCTAAAGTTTGAAGGAAAGTAAAATTCTTCTTTGCTTAGAAAGTTTGGAGGCCACTGAATTCAAGGATACGTTCAGCTTTGGAACATGTTGCAAGTTCCACCCGTTTTTAGTGTGGAACATGTAACATGTTCCTATATCTGCCTATAGCTGCCTATAGCTGCCTCCCCCCTCTATCTGACAGATAGTTAGGGGAGAAGTCTCCCCATACTATCTGTCAGATTTGAAAACCACGTAGCTGTGTGGGGCCACGTCACTCATTCACAGAGTTCTGTGAATAAGTGCCTACAAGTCCCATCAGTCTTAGCGACTGTTTGCCTTTAATTTTCAGTTAACTACCACGGCGCTCCACAGCGCTGTGGTAGTTCATTGAAGCCACCTGTCAGAATATCTGCTTGACCATATATCCCGTACAGCTAGCATAATTTCTGGCAGGTCTGCAGGAGACCTGTATGGCATCAGCAATCTACTGATTGCCCTTGTGTCAACAAGCCCTATTGCCAATTTGACACTTTATTCGTCTAAAGCTACCCTTTTCCCAGTGCATTAAAGGAGACAACATCCAAGTCAAGTGCTACACAAAGGGAAAGTCCGTGTCCGTCCTTCTTCCTCCCCTTTCTGTTAATTCTGTCCAAAACTGTCACCTTCATCACTGTCTACTTGTGCACCAACTGGGCCCCAGCGAGCTTGCAGAAGAATCCTCAATGCACCTAAAGGGACATTGACTACCCTGGTCAAAGTGCTTTCATTTCAGATTTAAGCCTTGCCATCAGATTCTGAGGGCCCAAAGTGAGATAGTTCTATTGTTGCTAGTTTTTTATTGCTCACTGGGGTTAACACCACATCAGGTTGAAGGTATTGGGTTAAAGGATAAGTTCACCTTTAGAACATGTTACATGTTCCATATATTTTTAGGGTGGAACATGTAACATGTTACTATAGCTGCAGCAGCAGCATCCCCCCCCCTTCCTTTGACAGATAGTACAGGGAGACGTTTCCCTATACTACCTGTCAGATTTGAAAACCGCGTGGCCATGCGGGGCTCCGCACACATGGCCACATCACTCATTCACAGAGTTCAGTGAATGAGTGCTTACAAGTCCTGGCAACCTTAGCAGCTGAGGGTTTGTAGTTTTCAATGAACTACCACAGCACTGTGGTATTTCATTGAAGCTTCCTTTCAGAATATCTGCTGTACCGTACATCTCGTACAGCAAGCAGATATTCTGACAGGTCTGCAGGAGACCTGCATGGCATCAGTGATCTACTGATCGCTGATGCAATGCTCTTTTGGACAAAAATAATAAAGTCACATTTTTTTTACCTGCAAAAAAATGTCCATTTATTTTTTTTGTCCAAAAGGTGAACTTATCCTTTAGCCCTGGTTCACACTTGTGCTGTGCGGAATTCGTAGCGTTTTCAGTGCAAATTCCACACTGCATCACAATTGCACCCCATTCATATGAACCGATGCGGGTGTGTATGTTTAGTTAACAACACCACGACATCGGTCCGCAAAACACGGTGTGATGTGCAGAATCGGATCGCATAGGTAAGAACACCTATTTGATCTGATTCCAGTGCGGACCAAAAAAGGGTCCTGCATGTTTTTGGTGCGGGTGTAGTGCGAATAGAGCTGTACAAAATGTATGGCTCTAATCGCACCGCATACAAATCGCATGTGTGATGTGCAGATTGTATGGCTCTAATCGCTCCGCATACAAATTGCATGTGTGATGTGCAGAATCGGATCGCATAGGTGTAAATACCTATGCGATCTGATTCCAGTGCGGACCAAAAAAGGGTCCTGTACGTTTTTGGTGCGGTGCGAATAGAGCCGTACAAAATGTATGGCTCTAATCGCACCGTATACAAATCACATGTGTGATGTGCAGAATGTATGGCTCTAATCGCACCGCATACAAATCGCATGTGATTTGTACAGGAATGCGGTGCGGTTCCTGTGCGAATCACATGGGGTTTACCGCACCGCTGTAGTGTGAACCCAGGCTAAAACTTTGACAACAGAACCTGCTAGCTGATTGGTTACTATGCACAGCTGCACCAAATTCAGTGCGCCCCAGTTTAAATATCTCTCCCCAATTGTGTGTGTGTTAACAACGTTACTATGAAAATCATTGGAACAGTTAAATCTGCCTGCTCTGTCACTGTGTATGTGGTAGATTACTGGCACAGCGATAAGACGATATGTTATCAAGCTGAGTAAAGCGCCCGCTCGGCTGTAGTTTGAAGTCCAGCAGCGATCTGACTTGCTGTTTATTTTGTGATATTTATACCATGGGTTTGTATAATCCTTTTGGAATAATACACTGGAATATTTACTTTGCCCTGGTAAGCTGCACATATTTTTAGCAGTGTTTGTTTACCTTGAAGCCCTTCTTCTGCTGAACTTCAGCTCCTTTGTCATCATGCAGGCACAGCAATCTGAGCGTCAGGCCAAAGGGACTGTCATCACTCGTGAAGCGTGGGGGAGTACCCGAGGCGTTAAGAGCAGAGGTTTGGCAACTGCTTTCTGGCTGTCACGAGGACCAAGAAATGTTGGACAAGTACAAGAACCTCATCATAAAAGTAGGAGTTCTTTAAAATGTCCTTTTTGTGTGCATTTTGCTGGTGTTATGATGGCCACACTTGCTTCAAATTCATTATCCAATCAAAGTGCGTTTCGAAGAGAAACGATCAACTCAGAAGCCTAGAGAATAGCTATAACTACTTCTTTTTATGATCGATTTAGACTCAGGTTAAAGTGTTACTAAACCCACAACAGTAAAATCAGTCTGTATATGCAATAAAGCATGCTTGTTATACTCACTGTGGAACTTAAGGGGTTAATCCTCCACATGTGTAAAAAGGCAGTTTGATTTTTGTCTTCTGCGATCTTCCCCTTCTTCTACTATCCCCAATCCATTTGCTGATAAAACAGAGACTTGGGGGCAAGCTGCACATGCTCCGTTTGGTGTGTATTGCTAGCCACTTGCCCTCCTGAGGATTTACCCCCTTTCCTGACCAGGCCATTTTTTGCGTTATGGTGCTGCGTTGCTTTAACTGGCGATTGCGTGGTCTTGCAACGCTGCACCCAAATGAAGTTTATTTCCTTTTTTTCCCCCAAAAAATTGAACTTTCTTTCGGTGGTACTTGATCGCCTGTGCGTTTTCTTTTAATTTTTTGTGCTATAAAAAAAAAAGTTGACAATTTTGAGAAAAAAAAAAATATTTTTGACTTTTTGCTATTACACATGTCCAGTAAAAAAATAAAAAAAAATAACATTTTGTCATAAATTTAGGCCGAAATGTATTCTGCTACATGTCTTTGCTGAAAAAAAAAATCCAAGTACATGTAAATTCATTTGTTTACGTGAACGTTATAGCGTTTACAAATGGTGGTGTATATATACTGGAATTTTTTATTTTTTTTACTAGTAATGGCGGTGATCAGCGACTTATAACAGGACTGCGGCGGGCATTCTGACACTGGGGGGAACTGACTTGGTGTCATTGACATTCCCAGTGACACCAATACCGTGATCAGTGCTAAAAAAAAAAAAAGCACTGACACTGTATTAACGGAACTGGGCTGTAAGGGGTTAACATCAGGGACAATCAAAGGGTTAACTGTGTGTTGGGTGTGTTTTACTGGGGGGGGGGCGTGTGTTGGTGCGTCACTGTAAGCACACTGCTCTGAATGGTTGTGCTGTGCACAGCCATCCAGAGCAGTGTGCTGAGCCGACAGGGAGGAGGACTGTTAGTAAACAAAGCAGCCCTCCTCCCCGTCGGAGATCTTCGGTAATCTCCGGGCGTCAGCGGGTAATCAGTGATTGACAGAGGAGACACAAAATCCATGTATATATATATGTGATTTTGCGCACCTCTGCACCCTGTAGCAGTATATCTGCTATAGGGCGGTTGGGATGTGGCTAGAGAGCTTTTTTTTTTTTTTTTTTTATTGGGAGAGTGCACATGATCAGCACAGGGCCAATCAGCACTGTCCAGACAGAGGGTCCGGGGTTATGCATCCTCCTAAAGCAGAAAGAAAACTCCTTCTACAAGCTTTAACCAGTGCTCTGGTGGACACTGACTGCTATATACTGCTGATGAGAAAAGGTATCTAGCAGTTCATATTTACTAAAATAATTGCATTTCCATGTTCTGTGTACTGTAGGAGAGCAGATATAGTGAATACAGGGTACTGGGTTTAGTAACACTTTAAGGTCAGATTTGGTCAAACTGAGTCGATCGGCCATTGCTGAAATGAATCGGTAATAAATTCAATGGGATTTCGAGATTGCCTGGTGGAAACGGAGATATGATCAATAACTTATGATCATATCTTCCAAGCATTGATTGTATTCCACTTTCCTGCGTGTCGCATATCAATCGTCAATCAGTGATCTATTTATTGAAGCATGTATGGCCACCATTAGTTTATTGAGTGTTTTGTTTTTGAAAATACTGTTGGCACCCAAACTGAACTTCTAGTGGTGTTTTGCACTTTTGATGGAAGTTTAATACATTGTATCAATCTTCTGTATCCCGTAACACAGTGGTTCTCAACCTTCCTAATGCTGTGACCCTTTAATACAGTTCCTCATGTTGTGGTGACCCCCAACCGTAAAATTATTTACCCAGTAATTATAATTCATGAGTGTCGTTTTACCTCCAATACTGCTGCTTTCAACACAGTAGCTGCTTTTAACAGAGTAGCTGCTTTCAACACAGCAGCTGCTTTCTACACAGTAGCTGCTCTTTACACATCGGAAATATGTGTTTTCTGATGGTCTTAGGGGATCCCTGTGAACGGGTTGTTCGACCCCCAGGTTGAGAACCACTGCCGTAACACCTGCCTAAAGTAAGCAGATCAGTAGTGTCGATTATTGTTGTATCTTTGGAAATGTGACATAATGGGCATGAGGCATAAATCTAAAGTATTACCTAACACATGCTGAAAGTGGTGGGTCAAACAGTAATGTTGATTCATTTGTCAGAGATGGATTGCTTTTCACTCAAGATGATGAGGAAAATGTAGACATTGAAAATGCTATTAGGTGGTAGCCATTATAAACCACAGACCCTGCTATATAACCCTGCTCAATGAGGGAATCGCGTCCAGGGCACCAGGATAGTGACTGTGGCTTAGCTGGGGCTGTTGAAGAGACTGATATTTAATATAGCCAGGGTTGCTAAAAAGACTGGTATGTCATTTAGCAAGGGTTGCTGAAGAGACTAGCATGTAGTTTAGCGGAAGTTGATAAAGAAACTGATATTTATTTTACCCAAGGTGTCTGAAAAGATTGGTATGTAGTTCAGCTGGCGATGCTGAAGAGACTGGAATATAGTTTAATAAGAAAGTGCACTATCCCTTTAAAAAGGTGCAATATGCAAATACATGAATTAATAAACATCAAGTAAATGTAAATCAAACAAAGTGTCAGAATTATAAAGTACAAATTTATAGAAATCAAATAAATATAAATTTGAACAAAAAGTGTTAAAAGTCCATATCACAGACTTATAGTTCTTCCAAAGACTATCACCAACTGTTCTCCCCACACCAAGGATAGTGTACACTGCTTAATGGACTTATCTGGCCCCAAGTCATAGGAGGTCAGCCATGCTTTATAAATATCAGCATCTACACCAAAGTTCTAGGCAGAGATGTGTTCAGCAGAAGGTAAAGAGGCAGCGCCATGTGAACTGAAGAAATACAGAGGCCAAAATAGTGTGACACTACAATTTTGGGTTTACAAATGAAATCCATTGTAAATAAATTTTTTTGTAATCATGTCCCTGTACAGTACTATGCCTTTAAAGTGCACTTTATAAAGAGTTTTGAACAGATAAGCATTTTTATTACTTTTTTCTGACCTCTGGAACGGACTAATTCGTTTCCAATGCATTTGCGCATTTTTTTTAATCTTGTCCCTTTATGCCATTAAAGTGCACTTTTGAACAGATAAAACTTTATTTGACTTTTTTCTGACTTCTGGAATGGATTCATTGGTTTTCAGTGCATTTATGCATTTTTTTTTAATCATGTCCCTTTATGCTTTTAAAGTGCACAATATTAAGAGTTTTGAACAGATAAAACTTCATTTGACCTTTTTATGACCTCCGAAACGGATTAATTGGTTTTCGATGCATTTACAAAGAGTTTTGAACAGATAAAAGACTTTTTTTTTTAAACTTTTTTTCTGACCTCTGGAATGGATTATTTGGTTTCCAGTGCATTCCTATGGGAAACCGCATTTCGGTTTACGAATTTTTTGAAATACGAAAAGTCCCGTAGAACTAATTAAATTCGTAAACCGAGGTACGCCTGTAGATTAAAAACAAATACAATAAAAGCGCAGCAGGAACTCCACATGCTCCACCAAAGCGTGCATGACTCTTATTAACCATAAGAGTCAATGATATCTGGCGACTCGGTGGGCACACAGGAGGGGAGCACGACTCACTTAATGTTTTTGCAACAGAAGCACCTGCACTGATTATTGTCACTAAGGACATTATTTTCCACTTTGAAGTTCTTTAAAAAAAAAAATTTTTTTTTTTTTTTGCTGTGTTGTATTTAAGTACATGTTATCATATTAGGCAGCACTTTTATTGTATTTGGTTTCAATGTAGCAGGTCTTGCCTGCATAGAAGCAGAAGCCTATTAATAGGTGTAGATTGTGAACTCTAGTATCTGCACTTCATATTAGCACTTAGGTTGGTTATTTTGTTGAATTGCATTTTTTGGTCATTTTATTCACTTGTATTTGTTGAATTACACCTTGCTTCTATACCACTAGGCAGCGCTTTATGTGCGTTGTCTGTATTTAGCAGTTTTTTCACCTGACTAGAACAGCAGCAGCATATTAGTAGGTTTACCACATGATTGCATTTAGTATTGGGTGTATGTTGATGATTTGGTTGTCCTAGGTGCGGGTTAATCATATATGGTATGTCGTTTTTTTTTTTAATCCAAACAACTTTTATTGTCAAGATAATAGAGAAAATGGAACAGTACTTACAGAATCCATAATGATATTACTGCAACAGCAGGATTACATATATATAGAATAATGTGGATACGCAGATCCCATAATAAACAAAATAACAGAAATGGTAATCAAACAAAACAGAGACCATAAGGATCCAAAACTTTTTTGACAATATCTTGGTTTTTCCTTTTTACATCTTATTCCTTCCCGACCAGATGTAAACAGAAATGGGGGAAAGGAACAAAGCCCAAAACATGTCTTTAAACAATAAAAAAAAACCCCACATCAACAACAACCTCTGCTTCACCCAAGACGTCTCATCAAAAAGAATGGGAGATGCACAAGAACTCCCCCTGGGGATGGTATCTAGTTTAGCCAGGGTCACCATAGAGAACGATATGTATTTTAGCCAGGGTCACTATAGAGACTGATATGTAGATTATCCAGGGTCACTATAGAGACTGATATATAGATTAGCCAGGGTCACCATAGAAATTGCTATGTAGTTTAACCAGGGTCTCCATAGAGAATGGTATGTTGATAAGCCAGGGTCACTATAGAGACTGATATGTAGATTAGCCAGGGTCACCATAGAGATTGCTATGTA